GGAGGAAGACCTGGTACTGATCTGTCTGCTTCTTGGTTTCATCATGACTGGTTGCTGGATGTTGCAGGACTGTCTTCTAAGAGGCCATATGAAGAAGTGCCTCTCAGACCCATCCCTCAAGGAGGAGAAAAGGAGAAGGATTTATCTACCAGCCTCTGCCTCCCACTGATCAAAGGCTCACTGCCTGGTGAACATCTTCTTGGCTGCATGGTGTCTTATGTCTCTGCAGCAACAGGGGATGAGAGGCCCAGAGCACCAAAGTGACAAGGTACCAATGGCTTCTGCTCACAGGAAGCTGATGGATACAGTGAGGAAGAGCAGAGCCCACGCAAAATTGGTTGCAGTGGTAGCAACTGGGGTGAAACAAGGGGCTAAGGATCCGAGGAACAGGTGAGGCAAGAAGGTAAACAGAGCATAAGAGATGTTTGATGCAACTATCAAGTAAGGTAAACCCGTTCACTGACATCCACAGAGTCCATTCATCCTTTGACTCTCACCAAATAGAATGCTGCTAGCATTATAACACTAGTAAGTTTCAGGGTGGGAATTTGAACCAGGTCTGCTTGATTCTAGAACCTGTAATATTCCCATGCTGTCTCCATGTATATGTCCATAAATGTGCAACATGAGTATGCACAAATGGACACCATCCCTGAGAGTTACTGGGAGAGTCTTCTTGTTAATGTGAAGAACATACTCAGATGAAGTGGACAGTAGACTCACAATCAAAAGGACTATAGGGGCAGAGGTAACCATTTGAGTAACATGCATAATGAGGGCCACATCCTAGAGAGCCTTACCAGACATCTACAAACCACTCTTGGATTTATAACTCACCTCAGGTCTTAGGCACATCTGTAGGAACATATGAAACCACTGCCTCAATATTGCAAAACCAGAGCCAAGAGATGATTCCAAAACTGAGGAGGGGTGGCAGAGGAAGAGGAAAAGAAGGAGGGCAGGGTCAGATCAGTCATCTGTTCTGGAAGCTGGGGCTCAGGAGCCTTAGGTAATTCCAATGATAATATCAATGAGGATAATAAACATCATTGAAAATACAGCGTCTACGTCTTCCATATAAATCCTTTACAATATTTCTCCTATAATCTCTATGACTTGATAAACAGTGACAAACAGGAAATAACTTACTAGAAATCATTGCTGACTGGTGTTGGAAAACTTTCAGAAGAAGTGCATTCATTCAACAAACATTTATTGAATGTCTACCACATGTTAAATTTGGAATTCGGCACTGGAATTATTTGGATTATTAAAACGTGATCCGTGCACTCTGGGAGCTCAGTTTAGGGCAGTCAAGACAAATAGGCTTCATCTTCTGAGGTCATATCTAAACTCTTCATGAAAGAGTTGCATCAGCTATCAGCAATTTCTGTCCTAGGCTTTGGGTCAGGGACCACCAGCACCTATGCCACATATTTCATATCCCTTGAAATATACTAATCCTTTGGATGGTGGTGGATCTTCCAAAAGGCCATAATGATTTGATCTTGGAAGTTTCTAAGTTGAGTTCACAAAAGGATGCTCAAAGGAATCCAATTGACAGGAAAGAAAAAAATCATTCAAACAACAGATGGTAGTCTGGTGGGCTGTCCCTCTGTCCACAAGGTTCCTGCAGCAACTCTCCCCCTGAAACAGTGATAATTTCCTCCTAAAAGGGGAAAAAAAAGGAAAACTCACTTATAATCAAGAAAGGGAAATAAACATCCACCAGAAAGAGACCAGTTCAAGAAAGGAAGACTAAGAATATGTATCTGCCTCCTCCTCACAATAATTTATAGAAATGACAGAAAAAAATCTGCTTTTAAAAAGAAATGAATCCATAAAATATGGAAAAATAAGAAGGAAGGACATCAACAGAGCAAAAATGTTGAAGAATCCTTGAAAACCAAAAGACATACAGGATGAGATGGTCAGAGGAGTCAGTGTGGGGCAGGGCTAGAGCAAGTATCCGTGGGACCGGTTGGGGGACCTCAGACAGCAGAGGTCCTTGCCTCAGGTAGGTCAGGAAGTGAGGGGAGGCACACAGTTCCTCAGGAGGCCGCAAAGACCCAAAAAGTTCGGATACTCCCACGCCCACGATGAGCTACTCACCATCAACCCTTACAGCATGGAGAGACGGGATCTGGGAAACAGGGACTGCATCCACTGATGGATGAACAGGAAAGTCACAGTTCAAAGATCACCTCATAGCCCCAAACTTATAAACATTTAAGGAAATCACAACCATAAAAGAAAGATGCCAAACTCAACAACAAAACTGACTCCCAAAAGAATATCAAGCTTATAAAACAGAAAGAGCCTTTAAGAGATGTGTATTAATGTCCTCAGTGGAATAAGAAGATACATTATCCATGAAACAAGAATGGGCCATTAGAAAAAAAGAACCAATTAAAGAACCTAGAAATGGAAAAGATGCCCATTTAAATTAAAAGAAAAATTTCAATAGAAGAACTGAAGAGAAGCATTGGCATAACTAAAGAGCAATTTAGTAGCTGAAAGAATTGACACACCAATAACAGAGGCATCTAAGAAGAAAAATGGATGAAGGATATGAACAGACAATTCACAGAAGAAATCCAAGTGGCCATTAAACATATGAAAGATCCTCAGCATCATTGGTAATCAGAGAAATGCAGACTAAACAACAGTGATACACAGTGTCTGCCCATCTGACGGGAAACAATTAAAATGACTGATAACCCCCAGTGTTGGCAGCAGTGTGGAGAAATGGCCTCACATAGTTTTGGCAGGAGCATGAATTGGTGCTACATTTTTGGAAGGCAATCTGGCAGATCTCTTCAAATTAAAATGTGCATAGTCTTCTATCCAGCAGTTCCAGTTTGAGGGATCCATCCTAGAGAAATACTTGCACATGTGCCCAAAGTGATATACAAGCAAGTCTCTGCAACACTGTTTGTGACCATGAAGACCTGGAAGCTATAGAAGTGGCCATCAGAAGGAGGATGGATAACTAAATTGTAATACACATCCATACCATGGAATACCATAGAGCATTTACAAGGATGTGGTACATGTATGACATGGAAAGATCTCACAGACATATTTCAGCGACAGCCAACATTTCCTGATAACTTACAAACGTCAGGTATACTGTTTTAGCACTTTATACAGTGAAATCTCATTGCAACTTCACAGTGACCCTAGGAGGGAGTGCTGTTATTAAACCCGTCTTACTGAGGAGGAAACTAGGTACAAAAGTTTGAGTAGTTGCCCAAAGTTACGCACAGAAATGAACTCTGGATTTAAAACCTGGCAGCCTAATTCCAGGGACCATCCTTTCAAAAAATACATTCTATGATATATTAAGGATGTTAAAAAATCAAATTGCTGAGCTATTGGTAAAGGATTATCCAATTTATGTGAAAAATAACAAAACTATGTATTTCCTTATGTACATAAATTTCTGCATTAATGCTCAGGAAATACCTAAACAGGTACGTGGCAAACTGATAATTCAAGGTGGAGGATGAAAATGGATATTTGAAATGGACAAGCTTTCACTTTGTATTGTATTTGATTTTTCTTAGAATGTGATCATAAAGTAAGTGTGTAATTAAAATTTTAATGTTTAAAAGCTGGCCACCAGATCTCCACATGGGCACAGATGAGATCCCTCTTTAGTGTTAGGAAGCGAATTGGTAGTCTCAAATCTTAAATCTGGGAGAGAATAAAAACCTTCAAAGACATCTGGTCGAACCTTCCCATGCAGGAACCTCTCCATAGCATCTCTGAGAGATGGACATTTACCCTTGGCTTGAATACTTCCAGGGACAAGGAGCTCATCACTGCTCAAAGTAGCTTACATTGGACAGGGAAAGCAAACAATGTGGTATAGAGGAAAAAGCACCAGCTTTTGAGGGACGCAACCTGAGGCTTAACTCCTGCACCTGGCCGGTACCAGCCCTAAAAACTCAGACAAGTTACTGAAGCTCCCTGCCTCGGTTTCCTGATCTGCGAAATGGGACTAATGTGCCACCTTCACAGAGCCATCATGACGATTAAATGAAAATACGGATGTGGAGCAACAGGCACAGTGCCTGACACAGAGAAGGTACCAATACCGACACATCCCCTCCCTTTCTCTTTCCAAGGGTTGTCAGAAGGCTCTTCCCAACACAAGTACAAATCTGCCTTGATCATGGGTAGTCTAGTTTTCCAGGCAGTGCCCTCCTCCTGGCGTCTAGATAATGGTAAATGGGTGATTTTCTATGTACTTTACATATAAGGTCAGGTTAAGAACTGTCCCTAGAGCCCTGGGGACATCCAGGAAGAAAAAGCAATGCAGATCCAAGAGTCCCTAGTACAGCGAAAGCCCAGTGAGACGGGCAAGTAATTCTGTGAACCTTTTCCACGAGCAGAGCTCAGGTGATGGTGGACCCTGAGCCACCACAACTCTGTCCCTGGGAATTCCTGGTCCCACCCTCCGGGTCACCGAGCTCCACCTTTGGCTTTCTCCCAGTTACTGCTGATGCCAACAGCCACATGAACACAAAAGGTGCTTCCCTCTACATATATTGTTTGGAAGGCAACATCTTTCTCAATGTGAGGTCCACACAGGGAACAGATAACAGAAGGAGTTCTGGGAAATGAGAACTTCCTACCACCTCACAGTTAGAGTGCCATTATGCACATGTCCTCACCTAGTGCTCACAGGATCTGGGCTAAGTATTACACACATCCATTTGCCCGGTTAGGAAACCGAAGCTCAGCAACCGGCACAAGGTCACACACAGCCTAAGTGGTAAAGCTGCAGTTGGACCAAGAGACATAACTCGACTAGAAAAGCTTCTCTATCCACGGGCTTGCTCTCTAGGTTTCAACTAACTCTACAAAGCTGCCAGAGACCTTCCCAGAAAGTCCTCAGAAGGGACATCCTGAGGATGAGCTTGACAGAAGGCTAGCCAACTGTCAACTGTGCCCTAAGTGTGGACAGCAGCGAGCACCCAGGTACTCTAGGTGAAAACAGGCCTGGGCACCAGGGTTAGAGGAGCCTGCATGGGTCAGAGGGTAAGCCAGCCAGAAAAACAGCGGGCCCCAGAGCCTGGTCTAGCCAAGCTCTGGTCTCTTCTACCCCGATGTTCCACACCCCTGTGACGCTAAGGACCTTCCAGGGCTTCCTGCTCACTCTCCATCCCCATCTCTTAGAATGCCTGCAGCGTGGCTCTCCTTGCAGCTCAAGTTTCCACCCACTTCATCTCCCCCAGTACCCCGAAGAGGGCTACCTTGTGGAAATCAATGAGATCGGTGAGCGTTGCATGGCGATTGGGGTCCACTCCCAGGAAGCTGTAAAAATCCCCAGAGGCATCCACAAGAAAGTGCTTGAACCCTTTCTGCAGGCGGTAGGAGAGGGTGTACCCCCAGATTTTCTCACTGACCCGAACCAGAAATGCTCCCTCAGTCATGTTCTCGAGGAGATCTTCTGCGTCTTCTCGGCTAATAATTCCTGGTGGAAAAAAGAAAAGAACAAGTCAGCAGGTTCTGCAACCCCTTCCCGCAGCCTCCCCCACTCATCCCTGCCCCTCATCCTCTGTGGAGGGATTGGGAAGGGAGGGGCTTCAGGGTGTCCAGCACTTGCCTCATTCCACAGAGGGCACATCTTGGCCCAGAGCAACCAGCTGTGAGCCTGGGGACAGAGTTTCTACGAAGACCCGAGTTTAGCACACTTCCCTCCAAATGAAGCCACACTAATTTGGATAAATTGGGTAAGCACAGAATTAGTCATGAGGTGGAATTAAAGCATCTATCGATTACAAGTACAAGTCAACAAACGCTGCCCTGTGGAGAGCCCTGAGAGTCCCGCTTTAACGACGAGACCAGAGTGCCATATGGTTCCTCACTCAGCGATCTCCCCAGGACCTGGGGAGCAGCACCTGAAAACAGTGTTTCCTCTTAAAAAGTAAAAAGACTTCCTTCGTCTACCTGTGGACACTAGGCAAACAGTTTCTTGATAGGTCACATACTTAAGCTTCACTTCAGCTCAAAGAACAAAACTTTCTCAGGTTCTGCAGTCCTACACAATGTGCTCTCACCAAGTATGGGCATCAGGTCTGGCCTTGGAGCTGTTGATATGTCAGTGGCAATCCCCCAAAAGGCTCGGAGGGGCCACTGTCATCTGAGCAGTGCAAGTGTAGGGGATCAGGTCTGGAGGGTGGGGCGGCGGGAAGAGGAGGGGAGTCAGAAGACCTAGATTACCCACCCAACTCTGCCCTCACCTGGCTATGTGATCTTCAGCCAAGCCCTCAAGTTCTCCAATGTCCTTTGACATTTAAGGGATAATCTTAACCCTCTACTTCAACAGCATCTGATGTTTTGGCTATTCGGGGCCTTTTGTTGTTCCATAAAAATTTTAGTATTCTCTGTTCTATTTCTGTGAAGAATGTCACTGGAATTCTAATTGGAATTGCACTGAATCTGTAGATTGCTTTAGGTAATAGGGGCATTTTAACTGTGTTAATTCTTTCAATCCATGAACACAGAATATCTTTCCATTTCTTTATGTCTTCTTCAGTTTCTTTCAATAATGTCTTATAGTTTTCAGTGTACAGCTCTTTCACCTCCTTGGTTAAATTTATTCCTAGGTATTTTATTCTTTGTGTTGCAATGGTAAATGGGATCGTATTCTTGATT